CCAGGTTCCTCTGTCCATGGGATTCTTCAGGCCAGAACACTGGAGTGGGTTGCCGTTCCCTTCTCCAGGGGATCTTCCAGATCCAGGGATCGAACCTGGGTCTCCTGCATTGCAGGTGGATTCTTTACCATTTGAGCCAGCAGGGAAGCCACTGGTTTTTTAAAATTACAAGATAAAGAATAACAGTAGCTTCAATAGCAACAGCTGCGGCTCACTAGTCCCAGGCGCTGTTCTACGAATTGTAAGCATATCAGTCCATTTAATTTCCACAATGACCTGAGGGAACCTATATGGTCATCACGCTTGTCTTGCAGATAAGAAAACAGACCCAAAGAGTTCAAATCTCATTCCGGTTCATGGTGCTTTTACATGGTGAAGCTATGATTCAAAGGCAGGCATGGTGGCTGCAAAGACCCTGCCCTTCCCCCCAGCTCTGCCGCCCGCGCACGACAGGGCTTGTAAAGCCCACCACAAGCTGCGGGCAATTTTCTGGGAGATTTCCTGGTCTGACCAAGATTTCCCATCAGGTAAATCAGAGAAGTAACCAACAACCACATCCAAAGAACTACAAATCCATGGTCTGAATAAGAGCATGCAGAAGTGAACATGACTCTCAGTCCACTGAACTCCAGGCCACGCAACTATCTCTAAAACTATCAGTCCAGCCAGAATGAGGCTCCATGGGCGTGTCTACCAACAGGTTGCAGTCTGCTAATGACTGAAGTACCGGATCCAGGTACTTCAGAGATGTTAGCATCTCTGAATGTTAGCAACTCAATCAAGAATGCACACTCAGAGTGACTCCATAAGCTTTGCAAAACAGCAGGATCAAAATGTGTATATGGGGGCGAGTTTTAATAACAGTGCGAGAGGCATCAGAAATACTTTCTTGCTGATAAAAACCTGGTGTGCAGTATGTATTCTGCCTGCATCTGACAGTCCTGGGCAAGGGCTATCCACTGGACGCTGTGACCGTGGTGGATCCCACAGGCTTGATCCACTGATGAGAAGTACAGAGCTCGGGCTTAGATATACAGGTCAGCACGCACACACCGCTCACCAAGCAAGGAATAAACCATGAGTTTAGCTGAAGACAAAGGCACATTCCATGGGGACTATGACTTAGAATTTCATTTTAGGGAATCTGGAACGATTGGGGTGACCAGGATGATTTGAGAAGAATTCTTCTTTATGGGAACATATTTCTCGTGGAAAATACACATATTCAAACCACCCCAGGGAGCTCCACAATCTGGTCATGACAATGTTTCTTCCCATGTGAGCCATTTCCCCAGTCAACTCCCTGTCTCTTTGTGAATCCATCTGCCAATGCAGGAGATGCAGGAGACATGGGTTCGATCCCTGGGTTAGGAAGATCCACTGGAGGAGGGCATGGAAAGCCATTCTGGTACTCTTGTCTGGGAAATCCCATGGACAGAGAAGCCTGGTGGGCTACAGGCCATGGGGTCACAAAGAGACATGACCGAGACTAAACAACACACACACATGCATCTGACTGCCTTGGCAATAACGGCATGGATGTCTCATTAAGACGGCAAAACAGGTAATGACAAAGTTTCATTATTGAAAAATTACTGGCCCAAAAATCTGTGCTGTACCACTATAGTAGTAGTGTTAGTTGCTCAGTCCTGGCTGACTGTTTGCGACCCCATGGACTGTAGCCCGCCAGGCTCCTCTGTCCATGGGATTCTCCAGGCAAGAATACTGGAGTGGGTTGCCATTTCCTCCTCCAGAGGAACCTGTGCTCAGCAATGAAGACCTAGCTTAACCATAAAAAAAATAAACACATGCATTGCTCAGTCATTTTAGTCATGTCCGACTCTTTGTAGAATATTGGAGTGGGTAGCCATCCCCTTCTCCAGGGGATCTTCCTGACCCAGGGATCAAACCCAGGTCTCCCCCACTGCAGGCAGATTCTTTACCATCTGAACTACCAGGGAAACCCAACTTGACCTTAGTAAGCCTTAAAAGAGTTGTGGGACACTTTTAAGTCATCTTTAACCTCATATTAAAATCAAAATGCTATGTAACTGCATGACATTTGCCCAGAAGAATAAAATATGCACTTTGCTCATCAAGATAAGTGGGTGGCTGCCATGAAGGCGGGAATCTGCAGTCAGTGAAGCTCATGGTCTGACGTTGCAGACGGCCTTGAGGGCATGTTTCCCAGTGTGGGGGCCGCTTTAGTGAATTAGGGGGATTCCTACGGAGTGCATGTAAACCTCGACTCGAGGGATGGGGTCTCCTGGCAGCCCCCACATCTCCTCCTCCTCTTCCTCAGCCCTTGATATTCTGAAATATTCAATATGTTCAAAAGATCCTTTCTGGGAAACAAAACAGTTCGATGTGGCATCTGACTGCCAACAAGCCTATGGGCTGTGGAGTGGCTTAGAATTTATGTAAACTCTGCTTCTTCTCAGAACTAACATTTCCGAGTGAGTCAGGCACCCTGCAAATGCTTTCAGGATATTTTTGTCTCCTAATCTTGCCCCCTACCATTTTTTTTAAAGGAGCATTTGGAGGTGAAGTAGTTAAGTCACAGATTAGAAAGAGGCAGCCTTCAGAGTTTACCTTTCCATTATTAAAAAGGAGCTGAGATTCAGCGTATATAACATTCCAGGGAACAGCACTCACCAGACTGAGCTGTACGTCAACTGTGACTGATTTAGAACATTTGGGCCCTGTTATCACACCAGCACAATTCCCTGTAAATGCCCTAAAGAAACATTTCTTTTCAACCAATTTGCTCAAGCAAAATCTTACCTTGAATTGCAAGGCAATGAGTTGTTTTTTTTTTTTTTTTTAGGATGATACTAAAAAAAGATATTCTCCATTACCTGGTGATGGATTTTTAAAGAAGATTATTCCTAGAGAGGGTTGAGGCTCTTCCTGCTGGGACCCCAGTGCCCCATCTCTCTCTCTGGGGCCATGGGGTTATTGCCCTGACCCCTCTGCCACTTGTAGGGCTGTCTGTCTCAGGATAGCAGAAGCATGGTGGATACCATTTCGTCCAGTGACACCCTTGTGTGAACCCAATGAAACATCAAGGTCGATTCTCCTGGGGCCTGGAATGCAGCTCAGAACCAGAATTGTGGGTGCTCCGAGCAGTGGTGGCCACGATGGAATAATCCTGGGGCTTCCGGGGAGACCACAGGGAGGGGGACGGCAGTGATGGGCACTCCTGCGTTCAGCCGGGAAGTCAGCTGCCCAGGATCAGGACTGTGGTGGCCTCTGGGAAGGGGCTTGGCAGAGGGAGGACCTTCTGAGATGACGGAATGTTCTGTGTCTTTTAAAGGATTTCCTTTCAGAAATTATTTTATTATTCTTACCATTTATTTTTATTTTTTGGCTGTGCCATGTGGCATGCGGGATCTCAGTTCTCTAAGCAGGGACCGAACCTGCATCCCCAGCAGGGTGGTGTGGATCCTTAACCACTGGACCACCACGGAAGCCCCATGTTCTACGTCTTGATGGGGTTGCACAATGCACATGTTAGTAAGCCCATCAAACCGTGGCCTTGGAACTGTGCATTTAACTGTTGAAGACTTCCGTCTCAATTAAAAAAAAAAAAAGGAAACCCAGTCACAGAACCTTGAGCCTCAGTGGCTTCAGTGAGATTACAGTGGGAAGTGGGACTCAGCGTACGTGTCTCTGTGCTTTATCCTTCAGGATATAAAAGCCCCTGCAATGCAGAGGCCAGATTGAGGGACGCACCACATCGACGAAACATGACATCTTCTGGGTTTGGTCACACCCAGGTATCCCGGAGCCCCCGGTCCAGCCCAGCACGACGGATTCCTGCTGTGATCACGGGTTCTGAGGCAGGAAGGCAGAGACGAGCACCAGCTCTTAGCCTGGCGCCCGTCCACACCTGCATTTCCAGGGGGAGCGGTCCTGCAGCTGAGCAGTGACACCCCCTGAGAGCATCTCCCCTGACCTTGTGCTGACTCGGGCGGATGACCTACCCTCACCGCGCCTCTGCAGTGAAATGTCTGTAACACGCTCATCTTGGAACGCGAGGGCGCCGTGGACGGGGTGTGTGTGACCTTACAAAATCCACGTGGAACCTGAATCCCCGCAGTGATGGTGTCTGGAGGTGGGGCCTTCAGGGCCTCCGTGATGGGATGAGTGCTCCACTAGCAGGATGAAGGGGCCAGAGCTTGCTCCCTCCCTCCTTCTCCCCCCACACCCCCATCCTGTGAGGACACAGGGAGAAGGTGGCTGTCTGCGAGCCAGGCAGAGGGCCCTCACCAGACATCAGCGCCGCCAGAGCCCTGATCTTGGACTTCTAGCCTCCAGGACCATGTGATACAGATAGAAGGTGCTCAAGCCGCCCAGACCGTGGTGTTCTATTGGTATCACAGCAGTCTGGACTACGGCAGCGGACATGAGGTGCTAACAGACACGAAAGCACTTAGCATGGTGCCCGGCAGCTAGCAGCAATCAACACATGACCGTTACCGTCACAGCAAAGTTCTCATCAGCACGGAGACGGATGACAAATGCTTCAGAAGAGAGCTGCTCACTCAGATTTCAGAGATTCAGTAACACCCACCGCCTGTGTCCTCTGGCACCCAGAGGCAAGAAACGTCCAGGGAGGTGGATGGATGCACGCAGGCCAGCACGTCACCCTGACCCGGGAGGGTTTACTCTCTGACGTCTTCTCTAGGCAGGAGCAGGCGCTCAGCCTCTCGGAAAGGGAGCAGGGGACCTTGGTGTCTGGACCCTGCCTGTTCCGGAGTCATCCCCAGCACGGCACAGGCTGGCCGGTGCCCAGCACACCTGGCCACCAGGTGAGGACCAACACTGCAGGCTGCCGCTGGCTGCCTGCTGCTCCCCGGGGCTCCACAGTCCCTCTGGAATTTAGCCGAAGCTCCAGAAACCGGAGCTTAATTGACAAGAGTCCAGGTCACCACCACGAACTGCCAGGAAGCAGCGGCGGCCGCGACCACAGGAACGGCGTCCTGCCCCCCGCGTACCTTCGTACAGCCAGTCGCTGAGGCCGTTGTAAATCACACCTTCCTTGCCAGTGGAGACCACGCGGATGGCCTGCTTCCCGACGTGCGCGCAGTAGTAGATGTTGTTCTCAAAGATAAATATCTAATTGGAAAAAGAAAAAAAAACACAACATTAATCAAGGAGGCGGTTACAAACAGGGTGTTCTTAAAACCCGAAACCAGCCATTTGGTCGGCATTTTTCTGGTGTGTTTATTTGACAGAACAAGAGTCTCAAGATCCCTTGGGGCTCAGCTGCCTCCAACTACATTGAGGGTCAGTCAGAGCCTCAAACTACACGCAGTTCACCCAATGCTGTCATTTACCACAACTGGACAACTGATCTGAAACCCTTGGGGGTGTTAACATCAAGATGCATTGACTGTGTTAGCAATTGTATTTTCCCTAGCAGTTATGAATGGGGAGGCTGGGAAACTGGAAACCTGAGACTTACTCACTCAACATTTACTAAAAACTACTTAGTGGGCTTCCCTGGTAGCTCAGTTGGTAAAGAATCTGCCTGCAGTGCCGGAGACCCGGGTTCAATCCCTGGGTTGGGAAGATCCCCTGGAGGAGGGCATGGCAACCCACTCCAGTACTCTTGCCTGGAGAATCCCATGGACGGAGGAGCCTGGAGGGCTGCAGTCCATGGGGTTGCAAAGAGTCAGACACCACCACTACTTAGGGGGCACCTACTCTGTGCCAACCCTGAGATGGCACATTGATGAGAGGTGGGACGTATCGTGCACTTTTATCCTACTTACAGTCTGGTAAAGGAGACAAACTTTAACAGGAGAATGCTCTGACGGGGACAAACGAGACGCAGGGACATGTGACAGTATCACTAACTTAGGCCAAAGGATGGGCCTGAGAAAGTGACTGAAAAGTATTTATTTTTTAATTGTGGTAAAACACACTTGACATGAAATCTGCCCCCTTGGCTGCTTTTAAGTGCATCGTTTGGTGGCAGTAAATGCACGCACACTGTCAGGCAACTGTCACCACCATCATCTCCTGGACTCTTGTCATCCTGCAAAATTAAAGCCCCGCCCCCATGAAACACGAACTGCACTCCCTGCCCCCAGCCTCCACCGTTCTGCTTTCTGCATCTTATGCACCTGACGACTCCGGGGACCTCGCAGAACGGAAAAGTGCAGGGTGTGTGCTTCTGTGTCCGGCTTATTTTACAGAGCACGACGTCCTCAAGTTTCACCAAGGGTTGTGGCAAGGGTCAGAGCTCCGAGAAAGTGGGTTTCAGGCTGCAATCTGAACAAGAAGCAGGAGGAGGAAAGGGGGCTGAGAAACGAGATGACTGGAGCAAATGGCTTGCGAGAAACCAGAGACAGGCGTGGGCTTGGGGGGCTGGGGGGACTGGGCACATGCTTCCCGTGACCAGAATCCTGGCGGGCACAGGACCCCAGGGGCAGCGGGAAGCCTTGGCTGAGGCTTGAGGAGGGAGTGCTGGGGTTGGAGTGGGTCTTCTGCAGGTGAACCCCGGGCCATGAGGATGCCGGGAGGACGGGCCTGTCACCGCAGGAGTGAGGATGGAGGTGGACAGAGGCGGACAGGCAGGGACAGCGGGGAGGACGTCCTGAGTGTGGCCAGTGCAGTCGTGGAGGAGGCAGGGAGGTCCTCCGGCTGCTGGCTGGGTGACCCGTGTGCAGCACTGGGGTGCCCTGGGGGATGTTACAGCTCTGACCTTGGGTCAACCTCAAATTCTCTGGGGCAGGGGAGAAGGGTGGTCTAGGTCAGCAACTCTCAAACTTGGCTGCGTGTTAGAATGATCTGAGGAGCTCTGAAAACCCTACCGCCAGGTCCAGGAGCCCAGCCCAAAGATCAGAATCTAGAGGCGGGACCCTGGCATCAGTATTTTAAAGAAATACTCCAGGTGATTCCAAAGTGCAGCCAAATCTATGCAACAATGGCCCAGGAAAAAAATCCAATGTCTCCCGGAGCTCTTGAGTATAAATCAGCCTGTTCGCAAGGCCCTGGTCAGTTCTGCATGTGTTTTCTGTGTCTAAATGCCCTGCCTTCCACCCCCGGGGGAGGCAAATCTCCAACGTCTGTAGAAGCAGAGCTACGTGGACCAAGAACAGGACTCAATCTTTTTTAAAGAAATTCTAAAAAATATATTGTCAGTGTCATCGACAAGGCCAGTGAGAGGGTGTTTTGCAAACATAGGAAACAGCGCAAATATTGACATTTTAAACAGAATTATGCCGAAAGGGCAGTTCCTACAGACGGTTCTCACGGAAGGATGGAGCTGAAAACTTGTCAAGTATCAGCTTCCTGCTCAGGCCTCCTGCCTCTTAAACATTCCCTTCAACCAGAAATGAGCTGGAAAACTGCCAGACACAAGTACACATCCTCGTTTAATTTCTGCAGCTGTTCTTACGAATTTGCCGAAGGGTAAAGATGTATTATGAAATTTTAACTTCTCTTTATGAGTTCTAAGCCTAACAATGCATTTTTGAATCAAGTCAGACCATAGCCAATTAATATTCTGAATAAGTAAAATTTGCTACGATAGACATTAAATCCATTTTCACGTTGGCTGCATTTTTAATGGAAGGAAAACAAAAGGGAACAAGTTGTAGGGAACAACACGTTTTGCTTTGAAGATGTTCACGTTTACAATGGGAGTCTGGGTTCTACAGAGCTTCAGTCCTCTGCAGGCCCCACAAGGGTGTCTGCACCCCGTGCTCCGGGGCACCACAGACCTGCTACGGGGCTGGGCCAGTGCTGGACTCCCAGGGGTCCTCTAATCTGTCACTGGAGATAAAGGCACGGGCTTCCCGGGCGGCTCAGTGGTAAGGATCCACCTGCCAGTGCAGGACACACGGGTTCAATCCCTGGGTCGGGACGATGCCCTGGAGGAGGATATGGGAACCCACTCCAGTCTTCTTGCCTGGGAAATTCCATGGACGGAGGAGCCTGGCGGGCTACTGTCCATGGGGTTGCAAAGAGTCGGGCATGACGGAAGTATCTGAACAATAACGAGACAAATGCAGAGCCCAGTCTTAGGGTGGGCATGAGGCTGAGTGAGCTGACATCTTCAAAGCACTGAGGATAGTGCCCGGCAACAAAGGACGGACTTGATAACACGCCTGCGGGTCTTGCTGTGGTTACTCTCATCATGACAAAGTTTTATTCTGCCTGGAGGGACTAGGAGAGGATTCCTGGGGGCAGTGATCAGGAAGAACACCCCTGTGTTCACAGGGTGGTTACAAGAAAGCCCAGAGACACATGGAGCCAAAAGGGGAGCTTGTCATCTCAGGACGCTGGGGATGGGACTGTCACCATGAGTGGGTACGGTTTAGTCGCTGGTTCTGGAAAATCGAGGCCCAAACGGAGCCACACTGCCAAGCTCAGGGCTTGACTAAAAGGCAGCGGCGCAGCTCCAGTGGGATGATAAAACAGAAGGGACGCGGGACTTGAAACAGAAACCTAAATTCGAGCTGAGACTACTAGACATCCAGTTCTGAGGCCATTACTTAACCTTGTCCTTAAGCTTGTCCTTGTAACTTAATCTCATGTCCTTCACTACAAAACACGAGGCTGACTGGATGATCCTGAAGATTTCCTCCATATTTAACCCTGTTGAGTCCAAAGGTATCTGACATCTGGAGAAGACGTTCAGCAAATTAATTAGTGATCCCACTACCAAACTCGTAATTGAAAGACTATTTATCCTGAAGGGGAAATTCAACATCCACGGTGAACCCAATGCGTTACTATTAAGGGGAAAACAGATTCTCTGGATTCCAGCTAAAACCCCCAAATATCACTCATCCTGGGTCTCTTCAACTGACACGTCACAGCAACTGCCCCTCTCGAGAACACATTCTCGGGAGTGGTCACGATCTACTGATCACTTTTCCCCTTGTTTCCTGCTTTTTCTCTTGAGTTTCCCCACTTCCTGACCGAGCACAATTTTACTAACGTTTCCACAATAAAGGAGGATGAAAGATCCTGTTACATAGGAGATTAGGTTTACTTGATAGGGTGAGATGGAACAGTCTGGGTGGTCACGGAGCGCCCCTGGTTCAGCAGTGACGATACACTGTCTTCCTACAGCAAACGGGATCGTCCCTGTCGTGTTCACTCTGATCCCACTGGGAACGCTACACAGTTGACTCACATCACTGGAACACTGCACATGGACACAACACGTCACCGCAACATGGGAATTCTGTCCCTAGATCTTGAAACCTGGTCAACACACCCTTCAGCAGACTCTGGAGGAGAAGCAAACGGCTGACGGAGAGGCCGGCTGAGCTGGGGAGGATGGCGCCCAGCCGGATCCTGTGTCCACCTGGCTCTAGCTTCCGCGTGTATTACAGATGTCACCCCTGACCCCCTGAAGGGGCTTCGTCCACGGGCCACAGAACACCACGTCAGAACCACCAGCTGTGACTGATGGACTGCACAGCCCTCCTGTGTTCACAGCTGAATGGCCCCTGCACAGAGCTCGACCTTCTGGCTAACCTTCTGTTTACTGCCCTGGACACTGGTCAGGGTGGGTGCGGGCACCAGGCGGAGCACACGGTTGCTGACACGCTGCAGTTGCCCGAGGAGAACGGTACACACTGGGAGGAAGCCGCGGCCGTGGCCTCTCTGAGTGCACGGTTCCAGTCGCCGGGCACATGCCTCTGGGCACCTGGGGGCTCGGGAGGGGCAAATGGAGGGATTTCACAGCCACCCACGGAGGTCCTGTGCTGTCACCTGGCAACGGGGATGCGGAGGACCCCAGGGCTGCTGGGAGACAGCTGGGAGGAGTCCCGTGGGGGGGCTGCACCCAGGAGCGCCTGCTGACAAACGGCCCCTGTCCACACCCTGCTGAGCCGAGCTGTGCCAGGCGTCTGAGTCGACCTGTCTGCTTGGCAGACACAAGAGCCCCTGTGGGTGTTTCTGAGCAGCCATCAGGCTCCCGGAACAGCCCACGTTCCCTGGGTTCCGGTCAGGAGACACCGGTGACGGTGGGACTCCTGGGTCTCCACTGGAGTGGAGTTATTACACAACAGTGACAAGAAGGATGTTCACCAACAGCCACGGGAGGGTGAATACAATGCCGCTGGGACTGTTTTTGAAAAGCAGACTGGCTG